GACGGGTTCCGATCCGATTTGATCGAGTTAGATTTTTTTTAAAAAAATTGAGGTCGGGTCTGGTTTTTTTAATGTGATGTTCGGGTTGGGTCGGGTTCGGGTTTAGGGTTAAAAATACCCAACCCGACCCGACCCAAAAAATATATAATTTTACCTTAAATATTTAGGAATAATTACAATAATATTCTTCTATATATTATTTTTTTTCAATTAAGTCATTGTTTTTTATTGAATAAAAATAAATTTTTTATTATTTCGGATCGAGTTGGGTCAGGTCGAGTTTTTAAGTTATATAGGGTGAAAACTTATTTTGGTCGGGTCAGGTCTCGGGTGGAAGACTCCTTGTTCTCGAGTTGGGTCGGGTGGACCAAAAACCCGACTCATGCCCATCCATAGCTTTTCGAACTGCCTTTGCCAAAGGGAATATTTAAAAGTAGGGTAAACAACGTAAATGTTTCCCGATTATAGGGTAATGATTTATTAAGTCATTCAACTATTAAAAATTATAAAATGGTCTTTCAACTATAGAGTGTTGCTTTGTTGAATTCCTCAACTATTAAAATTTATAAAATAGTCATCCAACTATTCATTATTTTCCAGACTTGTCCTTATTCGTTAAAAAAATTAATGGTTGTTTAAGTTGGACGTTAACCTGATGAGTGAGATATGATAGTTGTTTGAGATTTCGGGATCAAATTTTATCATATCACAGTCAACAAGTTAACGATTAGCTCATAATATCGTTTATTTTTTAATGAAAAATGACGAGTTTGGAAGTCGGGTGACCATTTTGTAATGAAAAAATTGTATCATGTTTATTGCGATGTTCAAATGACTCTCCATGCCAGTCTTGTGCACTTGTTATCCAATATCTTAATTTTAATCAGAATTAACAAAGCAATAATCATTTAATAATAATAATTGTCGAAAGCAAGGCACGAGGAGTGATGTTTTTCAAAACCATGTAACCCAAAACAGTAGCAAAATTAAAGAAGTTTCCATGAGTTACCTTTTTGCAGCGGCATGCTTTTGACTTTATATATAATGGAGCACTACTGCAGGAAACAACAGCATAGGAAACCCGATCAATCTGCACGTTTCATTAAAAATAAATAACAGAAGACGTCGGGATTTGACTTTGGGTCGACCTTAATTGAAAACAAATCAAGACAACAACATAGACCGGTTCGATTTGTTCGAGGGTATTGAATGTATAATACGAACAGTTTTTGAATTAGGGTTTGATTTACCTAATGAATACAACCGCTTTTACGACAAAACATTCAATAAATATGAGGTTTATAAGCACTTACTAATATATGAATACGTGAATGGCTTTTTATTCTCTGGGTTAGCCGCACATGTGTCTTGTTACCTGTAATAGATAGTCTGCAAATAAGTTTTGGGAGGATAACGACATTGCTTCGTAAGGTGTCAAAACAAGAAGATGGCATAAAAGAAAATGTTTTGAATATCAAGAAAAAGAAAGAAAAAAAAAAGGCAAGATAACCATTTTCACCTTGATTTTATTCTGCAAATAATATAATGATTAACATAAAGTAGATTATTTTATTCTCTCAAAATTTTTATTATTCTTATTAATCACACCAATAAAATTATTTTTCTGGATCATTTTAATTCTCTTAAAAAGATATTATATATATTAAACTTACCTCTAAATCCAAGCTGAGCCTCACGTAGTGAGGCGCAGAATTGTTGATCATAATCAAGTCAAATTGGTTCCATATATCACGCTGGCGAAACGTGAAAGTAATGTTAAAAATAAAGTCAATAAATAATATTATCGTTCCTTAAAGTTCAAAGATAAGTGAAGGGGTTTTGATTTTGTAATATATATGAAAATAGAGATACTTGCAGTAGGTGTAGGTTGAAGAGAACATTTATTTTAATAAAAACATTTTCTATCAAAATAAGTTTAAAAAAATAATTATAAGTTTGATAATAAATAATTTGTGTATAAATTATATTAAATAAGATATGATTTATAATTAATTTCTCATATTATTTTATTTAAAACTTATATAAAAAATGAAAAAATACAAAATTAAATTTAAAATAACAATAATTATATAATATCAGTTTTTATTTAAATGAAAAATTATTTTAATAATTTCTCAATTGAATTGGCACTCGATTAATGACATCAATTCAACTAAGGATTCTGGTTAAAGCATGATGGTGTACATGATGTCTCTAACAAGCGTATATGAATCAAGCTGCCATCTGAGTGGGTTAAAACTAATGCAAATAGGGTAGTATGTGATAGTGATGAGGTTGTTTCTTGTAATGACGTAATCTGAGACGTTAATAATTCTTGGATATTTGATTTCTCACGTAATTTAGAACGATGTTCAATTATAATGGTTGAGCTATAAGCAGCCATTGATATACTGTAACATGCATGGAGATTAGACAATATGAAAGCTGAGCTTGAGATTAATAATGCCTAAATCTACAGTATTCTCATTCGTAAATCTATGACACTCTAAGAGAATGTCATAATAGAAAACGTTCATGAGTTTCTCTAACGCGATTAAAAGGTGAGAATAAGTCATGTGAGATGAGAATAAAATAAAATAACGAACGCTCTAACAACTGATAAATGAGGTGACCCAATTAATGAAACTGTGTTTGATTTCTTTTAGCCTCCCGATTCTCCATTTCAAGGTAACAATTTACCCAACTCGAAGACTGTAAGAAGGAAGAGGTAGAAACCCAATAGCCAAGCATGGGTCGAGGATTGACAGCTATAAGATTAAAGTACTCTGAAAGATTAAATTCTGTTAGTACTCTCGGTATCATTTGATTTTGCAACAGATTGTGAGTGTGTCCTAATAGTTTTATCCCTGTAAAATTCATATCTAATGTTTAACATGCTTTCAGGTTGTATTTTGTCTTCATCTTTAGCAGTTCCCTTCCCCAAACATACAAGGAATAAAAATCTTATTTTTGAATTTAAAGATATTTCTAGTGGAAGAAAGGCGAAAACTGGTATTCTGTCACCTTGTTTTTTTAAAGGAGGTGTCTTTTATTGTATTCAAAGGTATACATGCAAAACAAGATACGAAAAATGAGCCTCATTAAAAAATATTCCTAAACATAAATGGAAGAAAAAGAGTGCACCATGTAAGATAGTTAATTTCACAAAACCAAAGCGCTCGGTCCATGCAAACTAACCCATTACATACCAGGGTACAAACCGGACCATAAGGAAAGCAAGAAATCTCTGACCTGCTAAGGGAACAATCCTTAAATCTAGAAAGAAAAAAAAAACGCATGCCATTTGCTTAACTCAACATATGAAGACTTCAATTGAGAAAATACAAAATCAAACCTAAATTGAAGACTAGGCAATAAGAACCTCAACATCTACACCACAAAAAAAAAACCCTAAATTTCTGAAAATCTAAAAAAATAGAAACCCAAAATCATAATCCCTAAATTCATCGACCATCGCCGTTGATAGCATGCCATTGTCACCGCACTAAAGTCTCCTCCTCTCGCCGTGTCATTCACCATTCGCCTGTTGATCGATCGTTGTTCAAAGTTTGAATAGAACATTTCATATTCAATGTTTTGACGATTGATTAACACATTGTTCTTTGATTTCTAATGATAGGAGAATGGGTAATTGGTGGTAAGGATTTGCCGATGAAAGTGGTGGGCAATTAACTACATCTTAATTAAATAAAAACGAAAATGACCATCTTTTATGTTTTTTGAAATCAATGACCAAAAGTAGATAAAACATAAACTTAAGTGATTTTCCATATAGTAACACTACATATTATCTTAGTTTTAAAATATAAATTATAAATAATCTAAATTGTATAATATGTATTTTATAATTGTAAGAATATAACTAAAATCTTAAGGTAGTTGAGTAGCTAAGCTTTATCTTTTATTTTTAAAGGTCTAAAGTTCAAATCCTACTAAACTCAAATTTTAACTAAATTTCTTCAAACAAAACGACGTTGTTTTGGTAAGATATCCAGCAACGTCACGACAATGAGTTGTCATGTCGCTGTTAAATCATTAACTACAGAGTGAGATAATTACACTTAAAAGTAAACGTTAGTGTTAAATTGATAAAATTAAAAAGTTAGTGGTATAAATAAGTTAGCGCTTAAAGTTTGGTGTATTTGACGTAGTTTACCCTTCATTTCATAATGTTTTAAGGTAAGCAATGCTAATTTTGTTAGAACTTTGTAATATTTTCAATAATTGCTATTTTCAGATGTTACATAATCCATTACAAAATAATATTGTATGTAATTGTTAACGTTGTTGTAATGTTTTACGTAATTGTTAATTTATCAGTTATTCTTTTCTGGAAATAAAGGAAGAGCTAAGCTCAAATTACGAACTATATATTATTCACAAGCCATCTTCTTCCGTCCATAATTTCGGCTGCATCATCTGCCATTATACCCAAAAGTGCAGCTGGTGGGTGATCTTAACGATAAAAACCTTGCTCTCTATTCAATCCTCTCCTCGTTAAAGGAACGGTAGCTCGATTTACTTGACGGGAAATATGGCCAATTTGAACCTTCATTGTCTGCCGAAGCTGCGAAATGCATCGAAACAAGGCTCAGAGGCTGATGGTGCCTCCACTTCCGGCATTGGTGTCATCGTTCAAGAGCTGGGCTTCAAGTACATTAGAGCATTCAAGTCGCACTTTTCGATAGCCAAGATCAATCCGTCATGTAAAATATAACCCAACAATAAAATATCTATCCTACTCTACAAAATGTTCAAAAACTATATATAAAAAATATTGAAACCCCAAAAATAATTCGACCCATCAAAGATCCAACATGCTAATGGCCCAACAACTTTTCTAATCCCAAAAATCTCCACCGTCCATTTTAACACATCAGAACCAGAACAACCGGCACCGTCAATCCACATTCTACTCTGGGATAGTATATACCGTAGCCTAACCATGGCAGTGAGTGAGTGGCACTTCTGTAAATCTGATCCCTTAATTCCAAAGCATTTCTTCTGTCTCTCCTTATTCATATTTTGTTGACATCACATTTAACACACACAAAGAAGAGTCTCTATTTCTCTCTATCAGAAGCGCGATCTCGATCTAGAGCTTCTTCTTGTTTAATTTGCAAAAATGGTGAGTTTAATTTCTTGATCTCTTTGATTCCGCATTAGATCTGGTTCGAAGGCCGCCCTATTTGGAGTTATTTCTCAAATTTATGTTCAATTTATGGAATTGGAATTGCGAAGATTTCTGAATTATGTTTAGTTCGAGTTTTACTAGCTTTGCAACGTCGCCATTTTTTTTCTGTTATAATTTCACTACTATGCAGCAAAGCCGGAGAATTAAGGATTTGAATATAGTTAAGATCTGCCTAGTGATTTTTCTTTTCGCTTTTCCTTTATGAATGTTTGGATATTGATCCGGCGATTTATAATTGGCCTCTTATTGAACGAGTTTGATTTAAGATCTCTTTCTTGACTTCGGCTATTTTTTTTTTTTGGCTTTGGTGTTTAACAGCCGCTCAGACTTGAAATTAAGGTACGTGTTATTCATTTCATTTCGAGTTCCGTTCTATGCGTTGATTAGATCTTCTTGTTATTTTGGATTGGGTGTGTGGTAATTTGTATGGTAACATTCTTTATTGTGATGTCTGGATTAGAGGAAACTTGCTCAAAGATCAGAGAGAGTAAAATCTGTAGATCTCCATCCTACTGAACCATGGTAATTTCAACCCTTAATGTAGTTTCCTATTTATTTGAATTTTATCTTTTCAAGCTTGAAGTTGACGTATGATATGCTGTAATTGTCATTGAAGGATCCTAGCAAGTTTGTATTCTGGAACTGTGTGTATCTGGAACTACCAGTCACAGGTACGCAAGTTTTATATTTTGTGAATAGCTGTCAAAACTATATGTTTTTCTGTGTTCCATGTTAGTTGTGGCAGAACTGGAAAATAGGTGAATAGGTGGACATATTTTATGGTCACAATTAATACCTGAAATTTAGTTGAACACTAACTTATGTGTTTTTTCAGTTTTTTCTCAATATTATATATTTTTTAGTAGGAAATGAACAATTTTGTAAACTTCATCACAGAGAAACATGGATTTTTTTTTCTTTATATATAGGGCTAGTCCTGTATCTGTAAGACTTCATTTTGCTTGTGTCATTTTTTTCTTTTATTGAACAGTACAAGTTCCATTTTCCCTTTGACATGATTATTCAAATATAGGGCTATAGATTTTTTTTTTTAGTTTCATGGAATCTAATTCGTATAAAGTTTTGAGTTCTTAACATGTTATTTAAGTAGTATTAGGCTTATTTAGAACCTTTTGTATTGTTTGGACTTTTCACTTATTGATAAGTGTTACTGTTAACCTGGTGCACAGACCATGGCTAAGTCATTTGAGGTCACTGAGTTGCCAGGTATGTAGATATCTGTTTATGTGGTGACTTATCTTGATTTTTTTTTACATTTCTTGTTTTCTTGTGATAGAATTATTATCATTTTCTAAACTTGACATCTCGCATTTGCAGTCAGGTCGGCCAAATTTATTGCACGCAAACAATGGGTTGTTGCTGGAGCTGATGACATGTTTGTTCGTGTATACAATTACAACACCATGGATAAGGTCAAAGTATTTGAGGCACATACTGATTACATTAGATGTGTGGCTGTCCATCCTACTCTTCCATATGTGTTGTCATCATCTGATGATATGCTCATAAAACTTTGGGACTGGGAGAAGGGTTGGGTGTGTACTCAGATATTCGAGGGACATTCCCATTATGTCATGCAAGTAACTTTTAATCCCAAAGATACGAACACTTTTGCCAGTGCATCTCTTGACCGTACCGTAAAGGTATAAAGAGCCTTTTTATTTGTAAGTTTTTCATTATATTTCTATTTCGTTTGGTATAGCCATGCTAAATTAGCCTTGAATCTGTTTGAAATTCTAGATTTGGAACCTTGGATCCCCAGACCCAAATTTTACTTTGGATGCCCATCAGAAAGGTGTAAATTGTGTTGATTACTTTACAGGTGGGGATAAGCCCTACCTGATCACTGGGTCTGATGATCACACTGCTAAGGTAAGCAGCTACTATTTGTATTCTGCTATCTTTTTCATCTTAAATAAATATTGAGGGAACTGTTAACAAATAATTCTCATGGATGCAGGTATGGGACTACCAAACCAAGAGTTGTGTTCAGACATTGGAAGGCCATACACACAATGTTTCTGCAGTTTGTTTCCATCCTGAGCTTCCAATTATTATTACTGGTTCTGAGGATGGGACGGTTCGCATATGGCATGCTACCACATATAGGTGATTCTTGGGATAGAAGATATTCTCCCTTTCTTTTCCAGTGGCCATTTATTTTGTGGATAGACAGGAAATTAAGAAATGTAGAGGAAACTTGAATCATTATGCAAGAATATAACTAAATTACCTATTTAAATTTTTTAGTTCCCATTTGTTTTGTGATGGAACTGATTTTTTTCTGGTTATGTTTCTGTATAAATATCAAGGTTCCATTTCATTCCTTAATTCATCACTTAGATGTAGAAATTCATGGTCTGGAGCCATATTGGTGCATTACTATTTACAGTTTGTCCTCATTAGCTTATCATTTTAGTGTTCTCTTAGGATATTTTGATCTTAATAGGCTTTTATGTATGCGGTGATATCATTGAATTCATCTAGCTTTTGATTTTTTTGACCATTTAATTTGTTTTCAGGCTTGAAAATACATTGAATTATGGTCTTGAGAGAGTTTGGGCAGTTGGATATATAAAAGGTTCCCGAAGGTAATTACTTTTGGTTAAATCATGCAACTGGTTTACGTTTTTTTTCTTTCAGTTTTTTTAATAATTAAATACTAGTATATTTTATTTCGGCCATTAGATGCTTGAACAACGCTTTCCATTTTTTTTGAGCATGTCTATGTGCTCATTGAAGGTTAAATCAATTAATTAGGTTGCTTGACCTGAGTTCTTCAGTTGTATGTTTCTTTTTTCAATGAATAGTTTGCGTGATACTTCTTACTTAATCTGCTATGCCTAAAAGGCTAAGAGTACAATGCAATTCTATCTTGCAGGATTGTGATTGGGTATGATGAAGGAACTATTATGGTGAAAATTGGTCGTGAAGTTCCTGTAGCAAGTATGGACAACAGTGGGAAAATCATATGGGCTAAGCACAATGAAATTCAAACTGTGAATATTAAGAGTGTAGGAGCAGATTTTGAGGTAAATGTATTTGTTGTAAAATATTTTTCCCTGCATTCATGTTGCGACTTCTAGTACAGGAATTTTCATCGTAAGATGCTTTTTTATTTGGTTTCTAGTTTACCGATGGAGAAAGATTGCCCTTGGCTGTCAAGGAATTAGGGACATGTGATCTATATCCTCAAGTGAGTTGATGCTTTCTAGTCTTGTTTAAATGAATTTGAGCATATGATTAAGGGTTACTCCTAAAATTTGTTGACTAGTTCTTTTTTATAAGTAGTGCTTATGCTTGGGTTTGTGCACAACCATTTACTCCTTTTTTTACCTGGTTCTTTTCAGAGCTTAAAGCATAACCCAAATGGTAGGTTTGTTGTTGTCTGTGGAGATGGTGAGTACATTATATATACAGCGTTAGCATGGAGAAATAGGTCCTTTGGTTCAGCATTGGAATTCGTTTGGTCATCTGATGGAGAGTATGCTGTCAGAGAAAGCTCATCAAAGATCAAGATTTTCAGCAAAAATTTCCAGGTTTGCACTATTTCGCCATTTGGATGGTTTGTTGTCATAAAACGTATATTTCTTACCCTTCGAAAGGTTGCACACTTTGCTTTCACTTGTTGAAAAATATGTTATAAACAACATATAAATTGCAACTGGAAAGATAGATTTAAAAGAATGAATAATGTCAGAAAGTAGATTCCTAATTTAAGAATTTAATTCTTACCCAGAATAGGCTACTTTCCTAGGATAGGAGTTTCCTAAGATAAGCTGTTGTTTGTATATATAGCCGTGTACCTTTTCTATGAAAACTATAATCAAATCACTCCATTTTTAACATGGTATCAGAGATGGTATAGCTCATTTTCAGTTGCTGTTTTTCGCTTCTAACAGCTACCTTGCTCGTCTCAAAACCATCCTTTAAGTACATAGTTCTAACATGGTTGAAGTAGTCGACACTAGCAGTTCTGAAACTGCTCGAGAAGTCACAATGAATGAAGGGAATTACTCTAGTTCAACGGGGGATTTGCAGTACATACAATCAACCTATAAGCTTAATGGAAAAAATTATCTTAGGTGGTTTCAACTGGTTCGAACGTTCCTAAAGGGAAGAGGAAAGCTAAGTCATATACTTGGGTCTGGACCTAAAGTAGGAGACCCTAGGTTCGACAAATGGGATGAACAAGATTCACTGATAATGTCCTGGTTGTGAAATTTCATGATTCCAGAAATCAGCTTTCGTGCATGTTCCTGAACACAACCCAAGAAATATGGGAAGCAGTGAAGCAGACCTATTCAAAGGTTCGAGATGCGACCCAGATCTATGAAATCAAGACCAAGATCTCGTCTACTAAGCAAGGAAACAGATCAATCACAAAATATTCTGACTTATTACAGAACATGTGGCAAGAAATGGATCACTATCAGTGTATTTAATGAGATGCAGCGAAGATGCGTCCACTCTAAAAAGATTTTTAGAAAAAGATCGAATCTATGATTTTCTGGCTGGACTAAACATTAAGTTTGATGCAATAAGAGTCTAAATCCTTGGAAAGGAGGATTTGCCATCACTAAATAAGGTAATCGCAATCATACATGCTGAGGAAAGAAGAAGAGGGTGATGATAAAAAACAGTCAAGTGGAGAGTTCAACCCTGGTCACAAGGACTGTAACAGAGAGGAAATCTAGTCTAGAACAGATTATGCTTGAAGATAACAGGCTGACA